TTGGTCCAAGTTTTTCTGTGGTTTCCTTGGATCACTTAGGCAAATGCTGAGGCAGTAATATTCCACAGATAATCTTTCATTCTCTTCTGTCTTCATTTCGTCCGTCTCATCTTTCACTCTCCTCTGTCTTCATTCCTATTCCCACGATTCCTGAAAGCAGGCTGAAGAGGGCCTTCCGCCCTACCTTCCGGCATAGTCCGGAGGGACTGCCCGCCCACCAGCATTACTGGCTGGGGGAATGAAACACCCAAAAGTTTTTTTTTTTTTATACAAACGAGTACTACAAAACCGCAATAGCGGCAGCGGTGCCGCCATGGTTCCGTAGGGACCTGCAGTTCAAAACGGTCGCCATTTGGACGCGCGGCCCCGCGGCGGCGCGCAGATGTATGTGCATTAACCCATTTACCTGTTAGTACTTTAAGCCGCAATTGCGGTGCCGCAGCGGCGATTGCCGCAAGTGTGCACCCGCNGTTTTCTCCTTGTCATCCAGCTCCAAAAATCCATCGGAAAACATTTCACAGATTATAATCCATGCAGACCTGTTTTTGACTCTTTCATGGTATAGGTATATTTCTGAGGAAATATCCCATATCTCTGTGAACCAACCCCTTTACTGCATCAATGAATAATTCTATATCCAAATCTTCAGAAGTTCTAGTAGCGTCAATTTGCCGCAAGTGGGTACCAACCGATATACAAACGAGTACAACAAAACCGCAATAGCGGCAGCGGTGCCGCCACGGTTCCGTAGGGACCTGCGGTTCAAAACGGTCGCCATTTGGATGCGCGGCCCCGCGGCGGCGCGCAGATGTATGTGCATTAACCCATTTACCTGTTAGTACTTTAAGCCGCAATTGCGGTGCCGCAGCGGCGATTGCCGCAAGTGCGCACTAGCGCTTAATTAACAAAAATATGTACTTATCATATAAAATACAACGAATAAATTAAATTTTGTTGTCCAGTATAATCCGTTCACTACTAATGCAATGACCAACTCTCAATCCTTTTATGAACATTATGTTGATTTCTCTTTACTCTCGAAATAGCAATGACCTTGTCGATTTTGTGGACAACAAATATGCATTGATTATAACAAATGACTACATATTCCTATCCATACCTCTATTAGACAATAATTATTCATTCAGCTTCTCCTTATCTGATTATGACGTAGTAAGTACGTATTATAATAGTTGCTCTTATTCTGATCGTGTCAAGGATAAACTTCGATACATGTAACACAGTTCATTGCTTCACTAGATAATTATTGTTACTCTTGTTATCCGGCAAAATACAGTCAAACAGTAAGGGTCACCAGTGAAATGATACCGAAAGGATGTTTTTGTAGAATTGACTATAACAACTGGAATTATAATATGTATAGGAATATTTATTTACGAAATATTATTCTGAAAATTCATTTCTGAATTTTTTACCCACTACACACTACCTCAAATTAATGAGGAAAAAAGTTGTTGCTGTTGTCACACCCCCGCCGGGAATCGAACCCGGGACATTTGGCTTTACGCACTAATGTTCTTACCACTAAACTACGAGAGGCGCCAACAGCAACCACGACCAACCGACCTACAATTAGAGGTAGTGTGTAGTGGGTAAAAAATTCAGAAATGAATTTTCAGAATAATATTTCATATGTATATTTATTTACACTACAACTCGGTAACAAGGTAATACTTGATCTTCTATAAGTACCTATATACCTACTTACAACTAATTCAAATCACAGTAACAGAAAGGTTAACATATGAATTATACGTAGTACATAGTTATAATCCTTACATAGTATGTATAATCTGAATACACCTATAATCCTAACATCCAAATCAGGGTCATTAGTGGAAAAATATGTGTATTGGCATATACAGGAAGTGTTTTCAATTCGCTTATTTCTGTTCACTTTCTGATCACTAGAGATTTAGAAAGGCTGCGATTGTCTAGTGAGTGGTATTTTCTAGATCGCAAGTATGATAGTTGCGTACCAACCCTTATCAGAGGATTTGAAGAGAAATATAATTATACATGTAAAAATAGACGAGTTCCATAATTTCCTTACTGAAACCGTACCATTACCATTATAGAATCGCCAGGCTAGACACACACATCTCCAGTCCTTCCTATTTTGAGGCAGTCGTCGAATTTCCCGAATATTCAGACATCACACATCCTTAAATACCTATACGGGCAGTAATGTAGTTCTCATGGATCTTTAACTATCCCTTTATGTCTTAAAAATATCCTACTGTACCATCATTTCTTCTTTCTTCATAGCGCCTTTGGTTTTCTTACTTTTTGCAAACTAAACTTAATTACTCTCTTCCCTAAATTTTCACACCCTCCCAAAACATCACATCCTCAAAGCTTGCTTCAAAGAGAGGCTTTTAAAACTGGATCCTGACCTATCTGATTTTCTTGGTATCGAATAAAGGCGACTTATTCCAGCTACTCATCCATAAAATTTTTATATTGACTTTAACCCAATTTTTCTTCTTTTGCACACCAATATGTTTGTGAAACTTTTATTTATTTTCTGTTAATACCGCCTTCATCTTATTTAAGGCTCTCTAAAAAAATTTACCTCAAAGTAACTGAAATTCTGTAAGGATGGTTGGGGTAGGAGCGGAAATGCTATTCATTGTGGTGGTGAGGAGTATGATACTTTATGAGGTAAAACTATGGGATGAGATGAAGAAAAAACAGATAGAGGTTTTATATAAAAGATATATCAAGTGGACTTCGCAGTAAGAGAGTTAGAGAGAAATACAGCAAATGATGTAATGAGATGGCGGATTAAATGTGGGAAGAAGATAGTAAATATGAGAAGAGGGTAAGGATGCTGAAAGGACGCGATATCAGGAAAAAAATATAGAAGAAGAAGGTACTGGAAATAGGAACGGAAAGTAGATATGATAGAGAGAGAGGGGGACAGGGAGGAGTAGGAGAATAAGGGAAATGATCAATTCGGGGAATTAATGAGGATCAGATGTAGTAAAATGATAAAGGGAGAGGATAAAAGAGAAACAAAGGAACAAAGTAATGAGGTGGGACTGAAGGAGAGTTTGTGGAGGGACTGGCAAGGGGATTGGGTGCCAAGATATTTAAAGAGAGAGCTAGTAACATTTACGACAGAAAATGAGTATAGGGGATGTGAGTATTGGGAGTAGGGAGAGGATAGACGATGTAGATATGTAGTGGGGAGATAGAATGTCTGAAACATGTGTTAGAAAGATGTAGATATAAAAAACTTCATAAGAATGCACTGAATTAGTGAATGATAAAGGGGTCGGACTGAGTCGACTGAAAGAAAATCTAAGGAATATGAGGTCGTTTTGTGTTAGAACACTGAAGGAGGTGTGTTAAAGGAAGGCAGTGGGGGAGGGACGAAAAGATAAATCAATGTGTGAAAGATTAAAATAAGTTTTTGAAATATATAAAGTAACATTTATTATCATCAATATCATAAGGTCATCAGTCTTAAGACTGGTTGTACACGCACCTCCACTCTTTCCTGACCTGAGCTAATCTTCGCATTTCCTTAAAACAACAACATCCCATATCCTGAACTATTTGCTAACAGTAATCTAATCTAGGACTACCTCTACTCCTCGTAACTCCTACGTCTGCCTTTCATACGTTTTGACTAGCCCTTCATGCCTAAGAAGATGCCATACCTATCTATTGCACCTATATCCTATTGACTTCCATAGAGTTCTCCGTTCTTCAATTTTTTCTAATACCTCTTCAATTCAAAACTACCGTCCATGTTTCGCACCCGTACAGCGCCACGTTCCACACCTTTAATAGACTTTTTCGAATTTCTAAATTAACCGTTCGCGGGCGCAGAAGTGACTTCCTTTTATTGAAGGCGACTAGACCCTGTGCAAGCCTCTCTTTTATACTGCACGACACAATACCCTATTTTAGATTGTTAATTAATGCATTTCTTGATTATTAATTAATGAAAAATATGGTTTACATATGTACCTACGTATATACTTTTAATTTCAGGGTCTAAATGGTTGTGTGTCATGCTGGGTGTATGTACATCCACTTGGACGCCTTCAGGAAGTATTCCAAGTCACACTGGAGGGGGAATAAGCGAAGTTTTTCAATGGTCTCAGTTAGAGTTCGATTATCCTTCAGAACGAGATAGGCAACAGGATATCGCGAGTGGAATTTTCGAACCGGGACATCCCACACCCATTGACGTAGATGTCTATTATGGACGTAAGTCAATACGCACTTTTTTTATGGGGAGATCTTTAACAGTACCTACCTATTAAGTTTTAATAAAAATATGTGAATATCTTTCCCTTTATTTAGTTAATCAGACAGGTAATAGTTTTTACCAACTTTTACTGTTGCTAGGATGTTTGATTTAAAATAATTTTATAAAAAATGAACGAGAACTGAATTGAATACATACAGTCTATTTCAATTTGTTGGAATTGTGACCTCGAAGAAATCTGCGCGAAAATACCTACTCACCTACCTTTTTTCTTACTTCCTAATTTCCAATCCTTTTTTTCATCCACAGTATTTTCATCATTTGTTACGTACATCGAACGTACAGGTCGATACAAATAGGAAGAAGTGTGAATTGTTTCCGCCTATAGATTCGCGGTAAACTGAATGCTTGTAGATGTGAGGAAAGCCACTTTTGTTCGAGCGCTTGACGAAATACGAGGGTTATTCAAATATAAACGAGCCTTTCTCAAAAAGAGTTATCTATTACTTTAAAAATAAAATACTCTTGGTGGTTATTTTTTTATATAGTTCCCTTCTTTATTTACACATTTTTCCCACCGAACAGGTAGTTTTTTCATGCCATTTTCGAAGAATGACTTCGGTCAAGTATCCAATCAATTGCGTACAAACTGTTGATCGTCTGCAAAACGCTGTTCAACAAGTGCTTCCTTTAAAGGTCCAAATAAATAAAAATCGCATGGTGAAAGCTCAGAGCTGCAGGGAGGATGGTCGAGTTTAGTCCAGTGCATCTTCACTAATTTCTGGACTGTTAGGCCTGCATTGTGGAGTGTTGCATTATCATGCAGAAGCAGGACATCTCCGATTTGCCGCCGGCGTCTTCTTGACCGATAGGCAGCTCGAACCTTGTCAAGAAGGTCACAGTAATATGGAGCGTTTATCATACAACAATTTTTAGGAAATAGGGGAGCAAAACTCCTTGAGAGTCCCAAAAAACCGTTAACATAACCTTCTCAGCTGACAAGCGGGTTTTTGCCTTCGATGGTCCTGGCTCTCCCTTTGTTTTCCACTCCTTAGTGGACCTCTTCGAATCGCAGACGTCCTGGGCGACTCAAATTTTGACTTCACTTTCACTTCCTTGAACATGGCCCACCAGGCTTTTATTTGCGACCATGAGAGCTCATCCTCCCTAAACTGTACTAAAAATTTTATAATAGTACATTGCGCAACTGAAGGATGAACCTCTATTTCGCTCATTGTGACGACAAGTAAACAAATCGGTCGGGTGGCCGGCTTGGTCATGATTCATTTAGAGGCAATACCCCTGTCCCATTCCAATGCTACGCCTACCAGCTAAACGCTAAAGTAAAAGGCTCGTTTATATTTGAATGCCCCTTGTAACATTCGGGCACACCACAATTACTCCTGTTGGTTCTTGTTATTTGTGTGTTGTTAACGTTTTTGCTATTGTTATTGGTTTTACTATTGTTATTGCTGTTATTATTGTTTGCTTTCTTCAATCCACGTTTTTCTTTTGTTTCACTACGAGCTGCAATTATTTTTTTATTTGTACTCATTTATTTCAACGCAGTCAACAATTTGTTTATCAATTCATGTGAGTCCCTTCTCCATGTTTAGAGGAGACGTGCGAACAATCTTCCTTATTCTGCCGTTCTTCTTCTTCCGAATACTTTCTTTGTCTTTCTTCCGCGCAAAAGCGTTGTATACTGAAACTTCTTCCTATTCTTGTCAAGCTGTACCTACACTTATAACAATCTTTTCGAAGTTCAGCCTTAACTGTTAATGAATTATCCTTCTTTATTACTGTATTTCTAAAACCAATTACAAATTGACGTTAACAATGATGGCCGGAACAATGTTGTCAATAACAACCAATCCAAACCAAACTTTTTAGGATTTGAACCAAAGAGTTTAGTCTTAAATGGTAATGGACTGTATTTTTTTATTGAAATAGTTGTAAAATTCATTTAATATTACTCTCGCTTAATTATATTAGGAACATGTGTTTGTAATAGCCCATAATGTGTACCTTTCGCTTCTGCAATAACAAAATATTGTGTAATAAACGTAATAAAATTCACAGCAACCTTGATATTGAAAAGTAGTATTGTAATGCATGGTGGAATGTACATTGTACCTACCGACATAAGAAATTAAGCAACACTATTAGAAAAAACTGAAATACACGCATCCATGTACGATAAATTACGTGCATGTCACTAATTACAATAAACGCATTAAACATTGTTGTTATCGATAAGGTATTTCTATTGTATAGTAGTTCCTAGATGGATCTCCTGTTCTAGTTTAAAAGTATTGGCAGATAAAAAAATGTTATGAACGGAGAGTAAATATTTATTAATATCTACACAATATCACAACTCATTTTTGAGATTATAGAGGGTAACAGAAAATTACTTGTAACTCCCAAAACTTGGATTATTGTAAAAAGAAAACTGAAATAGATTTTCTTAAAAATGGCGCATTTCTAACTCCCAAGTGATAGAAATTAGATCATTCCAAATTACTGATAGTTCCTTCTTCCCAGAGGAATGCGAGCCATTTTCTAAAACTCTGCTATCTATATCATCCGTAAATCTACGCATACATAATCATTTGCCCCTGTATATTTATCCCTATAGTTGTATTGTCTTTAATGATGTTGATCGCGTCTTCGATCTATAGATTAAAAAATAGTGGTGGCAGTGTGCATCCCTGATAGACTGTCTACCTAATATTTACTTTTGTACGTCGCAGCCTCCGCTCTATGACTGCCTGTTGATCTCAAATGCCGATAAAAAAATGTGTAGTTTCTATAGTTGGTAAGCGTTTTAAAGTTCAGGTAAATTAACTGAGAAATCGCTACTTATCGGAAAAGTTTAGACTAGACCTGATTTTTACATATAAATTAGTAAAAAATTACGTGCATTATTAATAAACTTGCGTGTACGCTCATAAGTGTGAGGACATTTGTTTATAAACAATATAAGGTCGTTTTTTCAAGGTTTTTTTCGTTTTCCTCCCATAACTTTTTCTAGTGATTTAATTGAAAAAAATTGAATGAGAACATTGTTTAGAATCACTTTTTCGATAAGAGTAAGGAGGTCCGATAATAATGACATCGAGAAAAAGAAATAAAAGTGGAGTTTACAAAGAAAAATTGGATGATAGATGTACGCCTCCTACATATTATATATGAGCTCTGATCATAACAGATCAATAATTAGCATTTGGTAGCATCACGAAATTTATATATTTTTTTATTAACGAATTAATTGTTGCTGACCTATTTTTTCGATCAGAATAAAAGGATTAATATACACAAGGCTTCTTTTTCCAAAATTTCAATTCAATGATATTAAAAGTATATATACGAAAGAATAAATCGCCTTTCTCATAAATCTTTATTTATTGAAAAAAATTTGTCACTGAAATATCGGACCCCGCTTACCTTTATCGAAAATGTGATTCTAAATAACGTCCTTATCTGGCTTTTTTATTAAATCTAGAAAAGTTATAAAAAAACAAAAAAAGCATCGAAAAAACGGCCTTAAATTGTTTATAAACAAAATTCTTCACGGTTTTCAGCGTACGCACAAGTTTATTAATAATGTAAAAAATTCTTTACTAATCTAATTTAGCTGAACTATTTGGTTATAGCTGAACAAGCTGATCAGCGGATGGCGATAATGCCTTAATAATTAGTCAAATTGTTTTTATGGAGCAACTTCGGTTGCTAATGAGACCGGCTTGGGATAGGACCGGTCTAAAGGTTGTGTACATCAAACAATACACACTTTGTTAGATAATCACAACTTCAAATAGACAGCCAAGATTGTTTTTAATATTTAATTTTTTTAAGTATTCACACCTATACATACATTAAACATAACTGTTCAGAGACCGTTCTTCGTTTTGCAGGCCATAAAATTCCTGCATACAATTTTTAGAATGTTTGCAAATTTACAAGGCGGTATGGTGTTTATTTGGTAGTAAACCCTTAGATGCATCGGTACAATGTTTAAATTAGTTTATAGAGGTAACGGTTGAAGAAGGATCCTTTACGATCCCAATTTAGTTTCAATTTTATTATGGGGTGTTTTTTTATGAGCCTATAACGGTTAAAAGTACCGTTTGTTGACTTCTTGATGTGCCGATCTTTTCTCAGATTATAAACTTCCCTCTTTCCAAAATTTTAAGTTGAAAGCCCGCCTTCTAAATTTACACCGAATTGTTTTGAAAGGGTTAATCACCAATGGTGATACTAGCCACACCCTTGGTGTTTTCCTCCTAGTTTTTAAGTTGTAGATATAAGAAGTGACAAGCACTTGAACCAAGACTTGCACTTGTGTAATCATAGTAATCAATCGTTGGAGATACTCTGTAAATATTGTAAATATATAATTAAGTTGACTTCGCTGCAAGAGTTCTATTTTTTTCTACCTTCTACCAAAGAATTAAACAACACGCCTTATTAATTTAACGCGTGTGCTGATATTCCACTTACAATAGTAAGTTCCCGAATATCTGCCTGTGAAATTTAACAATAACAATAGATACAATTACCAGATTTAACCCTACTGCACTTATTGCACTTATTGATGACATCCCCCAGGTAGTCCCCGTTCGGACATCCGAATGGGGAACTAGTTTACATCCGGAGTGCTTTACCCCAGAGGACGCCATCATTTAATTTTTTACGTGCGTTTTACTCGGGATCATAATATGATGGTTTCCCGTTGCCTTCTTCATCGCAGTATTGTGCATCAGAGTGCCTCGTGATCTCTGCCACCCTGAGCACTGAAAGAGCTGCTGCCCTATTTCAGAGTTGTCTTAGTCTGGTTTCTCTTTAAAAACCCCCCATCATAGTTGAACCTATGGTCCGGCACCCTAATCATCGAAACTCGCAAGCCGATCCACCCACTCTAGTTTGTACAAGAGTTTCGTCAAGGTTCAAGTCTCGTAGATTTATGTTTATGTTTTCAAATTTTAAATTTATTTGTGCATGTGTAACTGTAATAAAAGATACTGATCTGTTATTTAAATGGGACAATGTTGCCAAAATTATGTACCACACAGTTCACAGTTTCATTTAGATAAAAAGGTGGTAATGACATCTAACGAATTAAGCTATTGATCAAATTCGTCACCGCAACAACCGTCAAAAGCAATAACAATTAAATTTAGCGTCTGTAATTTATTGTTCAATGATCCATACCAGATTTGTGTATATTCATAGGAACCACGCGTTTGTAAATAAGCAAGGTGACCATATCGCTTTTAATTGAAAGTCCCAATACGTATTTCATAATTTCCTCGGAAAAAGCGCAATATTTCGCAATAAATTATGTAATTTCGCGAAAATTGCTGACCAATAATTTATACTATTTCTATAAACAGTTTTTTTGAAGGAAGGATTAGTATTAGTGGTTACTATGTGCATGCGACTACAGATCGGTTTGGGTAAATCACTCGGAACCGATTCACAAATTTCAGTAGGTGTAAATTATTGTATTAATACAGGTAGAACAGTAGCGTACTACGAAATAATTTAGAAACATAACATATCAAAAAAGTATAGTAAACCCAATGCTTTTTATTTGTTTTGTAGTTAGTTTTCACATTCACTGTCTTCATCGGAATTACTATCACTGTTACCGACATCAACGATTAGTTTTTTGTTTGTATGTCTATTATTTCCTCATTATCTAACATAACATTTAAATAAATAACGTTAAAGTAAATTATTGCGTCTATTTCTTTTTTATATAAACTTTAAATATCTGCAACAAGAAAACCAATCGAAAAAGTTTATTTTTTAATTTAATTTTGTAAATTGATCCCTGCTTTTAAATATTTAACCTATGCCCTTAATAGGGATACTGAAGAAAGAGGGCTGTAATTATTATATCTAAAGCTACCTACTTTTGCCACTGCGCATCCACGCCATTTTAAATTTCCACCAGCTTCGAGCGTCAGTCCTGTACAATGATTAATTAGACTATGTTATGAATCATTGGTTATTTGGGGCTACTAAAATCAAGGCAGCGTTAGAACAATGAGACAAGCTGGGAAATTAGGTAATTTGAATGTTGAGATAGATAGGCTACAATTAGATATAGTAGGCATTAGTGAAGTCCGCTGGCTATAACCTGGACACTTCTGCACAATAATACATACAGGATCGGTGGAAGATAAATCAGGGGTAGGAGTTGTAATGCGTAATAAAGCAGGAGAGAGTGTAAAAAGTTAGATATGGAAGACGTGTTATGTTTAGTGGAAGGGCAGGAAAACCTAATAGACTTCAACACAGTAATAGGTGAGGGTAAAGAAGTTGTAATAACAGGTTCTTTTGGACAAGGCAACAGAAATGAGAAGATAGACTGATAGAATTTTGCGATACACATAACCGTCGTGAATACTTTGTTTGGCCATCACGTTAGGAGGGGTCGAAGATGCCAAGTGATTTAGGGAGATATCAGTTAGATTGCATTCTTGTTACACAAGATTTAAAAATCAGGTGAAGGATTATAGGAGTTATCCAGGAACAGATATGTGTAGGTACCGATATCAACATAGTAGTTATGAAGACCAACCTTAAATTCAAGATTGCGAAGAAGAGGGAAGATAGGAATCGTTTTGACATAAAAAGACTAGAATCGTGTGATAGATTAGGTACAATAACAGTTGAAAAACTAAAGGAAGCGGGAAAAACGAATGACAGAGTCGTAGAGACAGAATGGAACTACATTAAAAAGTTCCGAAATTCCCCAGCCAGAAATACATTAGGTCTAAAACAAAACGAAAGAAGGAAGTCTTGAATAAACAAGGTAGGGGTCATTTTGATAGAATTGAGGAAAAGGCAGATAGGTGGAATGAATATTTGGAGAATCTATACGCAGGTCAAGAGTTAGAAGATGTATTAGAGAAGGACGATAGTTAAGCTAAGATATCCCATAATGAGAGATCATTAAAAAACTTGAAGTATAGTAAGGCACCAGCCATAGATGGGATACAAGCGGAAATCTTAAAACATGCAGGACAAGATGTTAGAAATCGATTTAGGCTAGTTAGTCTCATACCTATACAAGAGGGGGCAATTCCCGGAAGACTATAAACGGAACGTAGTAGTAGTCACACCAAAAAAGAGAGACGCGGATAGATGAGAGAAATTAGGTTAACTTCTGATGCATCAAAAATCTTAACTAGAACTGAGGGAAGACAGAGCTCTGGCCTCATAGTCCATTCAAGTTTCTTTTGTACATATAATATTTGTTTGTGATCGTCGGATGTATTTTATTCTTTTGTTGTATATATGTCGGGTCTTTTTCTATTTGTGTATTTACAATAAAAAACGGAAAGGGCGCGTACATAACAGGTCAATTGAAAAGTCCCCGGCCTAAAATAGTAAAACACATTTTTTTTGCAAAATTCGTTTTTTTTATTCAACATAATTCCCGTCAAGGGTGATACACTGATTATAGCGATCCTCCAACTTTTCGATACTATTTTTGTAGTACGATTTGTCCTTTGCTTCAAAATAGGCCCCAGTTTCGGCGATCACCTCTTCATTCGACGAAAATTTTTCTTCTTTTGAGATCTGAGAACAGGAAGTAGTCGCTGGGGGCCAGATCTGGAGAATACGGTGGATGCGGAAGCAATTCGAAGCCCAATTCATGAATTTTTGCCATCCTTTTCACTGACTTGTGAGACGGTGCATTGTCTTGGTGAAGCAGGACTTTCTTTTTCTGCAAATACGGTCGTTTCTTGGCGATTTCGTCCTTCAAACGGTCCAATAACGCTATGTAATAGTCGCTGTTGATGGTCCTTCCTTTTTCAAGGTAGTCAATGAAAATTATTCCATGCGCATCCCAAAATACAGACGCCATAACCTTGCCAGCCGACTGTTGCGTTTTTGCACGCTTTGGAGCGGGTTCATCGTGTGCAGTCCACTCCGATGACTGTCGATTGGACTTCGGAGTGAAATGATGGAGCCATGCTTCATCCATTGTCACATATCGACGCAAAAACTCGGGTTTATTACGCGTGATCATCTTCAAACACTGCTCTGAATCATCAACTCGTCGTTGTTTTTGGTCAAAAGTGAGCTAGCGCGGCACCCTCTTTGCACAGAGCTTTCTCATACCCAAATATTCGTGAATGATGTGATGTATACGTTCCCTTGATATCTGTAGAGTGTCTGCTATTTCATTCAATTTCAATTTACGGTCATTCAAAATCATTTTGTGGATTTTTTTAATGTTTTCGTCCGTAACAGCCTCTTTTGGGCGTCCACTGCGTTCACCGTCTTCGGTGCTCATTTCACCACGTCTAAACTTAGCATACCAATCCTTGATGGTTGATTTTCCTGGGGCAGTGTCCCGAAATTCGTTATCAAGCCAAGTTTTTGCTTCAACTGTATTTTTTCCCTTCAAAAAGCAATATTTTATCAACACGCGAAATTCCTTTTTATCCATTTTTTTCACAATAACAAAAGTTGCTTCACTAAAAATGCTATAATTCACAAACTAATGATCCGACAGCCGTTAAATTTATAGACGCGTCTTTTGAAGGTTAGGACTAACTGAAAATCATATGGATTTAGTTCTGGTGCCGCCATCTATGTGTCAGGCCGGCGACTTTTCAATTGACCCTATAGCATTCGTAGGTTTAGAAAAATCTAAAAAAATGGAACAAGATGTTAAATATATTTAAACATATAAGGATGAGATACATAGACAGAAGAGTGATACCTATAAAGTTTGTTTAAAGAGCTAGAGGCAGTTATGGAACTTGAGCATCATCGGTAGAAAAGTAAATAGGAAGGGAGGGAGGCAGACAAGGATGCACACTGTTATCGCTACTTTTTAATATATATCTTGAAGATGCGCTAAATATAATTAAATACAGGACGACTTTAAGGTTAACTATACAACTTTTCGTGTAGGTACGTTTAAAAATACTTATTACAGACGATCGCAAAGGGCTCCTTTGTACTTCTACTGCCTTCGCCTCTTGTTTCATACAAGATGAATTTCGGATTTCTAAGAAAACCTGACTGTATCTATGTATTTACCAAAAACTTATAATTTCTGAAAATATTAATTTTTAAATATTGAATTACAGCTCGAGAGGAACTAAACAAAGTATTTATCACCATACCTCGTGCTCAGAAAGGAATCCCTGTAACACTCGGTACAATCACTAAAAAATACAGCACCGATGGAAATCCCATTATTAAACCATATCCTTCTTGGAAATGGCAGAGAAATCCTCATAGGTGCCAACGTGACAGAATTGTATCAGTATATAGGATTCAGGTAAGAATTAGTCTTGTGTAACTCATGAACGAATCGTTCACAAGAACGGCTCACTTGAACTGAGCCGAGTGAAGTAGTTCAGCATTTGAAAGAATTATAGTTCAGTAGTTCACATCTTGTACAGTAGGACTCATGTATTTTCAACCTATCACTAATCGACTCATGTATTTTCAACTCTCCACCACCCTCATTTTGTGATAGTCACAGATCAATCAGAATAAACAGCGTAATTCTTTGAAAATACATGAGTAAAATCAATTGAAAATAGATGGTATTGAAAATACATGAGTTCAAAATATATCAGTTCTACTGTATTATTGAATGTTTTTTGCGTACATTCTGAAAGCTGAACTAAATGAACTACTGAACTAGACTAGTGAATTAGTTCACTTCATTGAAGAAGAATTATTGAACTACGTCTGTGAATTGAACTACAATTCCCAAGTCTAGTAAGAATGATTTAGACGAAATAGAAAAACGAATGCTAGCTGCTAAATGTGGATATTATTATAAATTCATTTTATTCGTTACCTCAACATGAACATTTTGACAAAAACAAAGACAGACAGCTGTATAATAGCGTTTTCAATATTACTTTGTATTTTTAAAATTACATGAATGAATAAAATCGTTCTTTAAATATTATATATAGAGACAGAAAATAAGTTTTTTTAAGGTTTACCTACTTATTAAAACGGCATTGACTTTTGCAACCTAGACCGCGAAGTTATTAGTGTATTTTACATTACTTTTTCGCGTTCACGCTTAATTTCATCAGTTGCTGATCCGAATGACTTGCAATACCATTGATAATTAATCATTACCATTGAATAATTAAAGGAGTTAACTAAATGAGCTAATAACCTCGAAATTTCCGAAGATAATAACAACAAGGCACAGAGTAAATCTGCAACTAGCGCAATTTGTTATCCCACAAAATAAGTATGTATCATTCCACAGTTGAAATTTTAGCGGTATAACCTCATTTAGTGGTCGGATGAGTTTATTTGAAGTAAATTTCACGATGGGACAATGGGCTGCAATTAAAAATTTGAAAAAGGGGTTCGGCAACTTTTAAATTGTTGAAATCCACGAATGGCGATGATTTATTAAGCCTAAGCAACATTTTTGAGTGACATCCACGGTTTAAGAACGAATAAAGTCGTTGGAAGACCATAACGAATTTGTGGGCTTGGGTCAGACTGTCAACAAAGTAGTCCTGGATTTTATTTCTGACGACTGACGATTTTGAATTTCCGCGGGCTAAGTACAATCGATTTTCGATTTTTTTCTGGGGTTATATTGGTACTTATGTCGACAAGTTCGGCCATGTTGAATGTTCAGTTAATTTTGGACAGCTGCTTTAATTGCATGTGTTTTGGCTCGTCTTCGATTTTTGCCATTCCAAAAAAATGACGCATTTCGAATGTTGACCATGGCATACTTCATCGGTGGTAGAAAATGCTCTCAGAGGGCCAAGAAAATGTGATGATGCGCACCGGACGCTCGAGCACGTCAACAACAAACTAAAACATTGATGAAATGAAGGAAATAGTATTGGCCAATCGTCGAATCACCGTTAGAGAACTTGCTGAAGATCTAAACATATTGATTGGCTCCTGCCATTTGATTTTTACCAATGATTTGAGCATGAGACAGGTCGCCGCAAAATTCCTACCAAAATTGCTCAATTGGAGCTGTTGGACCCGACGACTCAAATTTGCTCCAGAGGGTCATAACTGGTAACGAGTCATGGGTTTAAGGTTATGACGTAAAAAAAATGGAAACTGCTGCAGAGTTAAGACCGACGAAAGCGCGCAAAGTTAGGTCGAACATGAAAGTTTTGCTTAAAGTTTCCTTCGATTGCAAGGACGTGGTGTATCATGAATTCTTGCCACAGGGTAGAATGATCAATAAGGAATATTATAGTGTCCGACCGAAAGTTCGGTTTCGGTCGAATTTCGGTTTAGTTTCGGTTTCGGCGGCAAACCTGCCGAAACTACGACCGAAACCGAAACTGCGTTTGGGAGTTATCGCGCTCTGCTCGGTCATGTTCGGCGCGTTAAAGTCCATCCAAGCGAAGTAGATTAGTAGACATTTCGCCGCGTCTAGGTGCACAATCATGTTGTGACTAGTTCGTGTTTGCAATTCGTTTTGTTTGTTGTGATTTATTTTGTTTTGTTTATTACTTAAATATTAAGTTCCTATACCTATTGTGATATTAGGTAACAATAACTAAAGTAATTTTATGTTTAACATTATATACAAAAAAGCATGAATAATGAGTCTGGTCTACTGTACTTACTCAAATAAACATCTCACCTATTTTAAGTATTTTTAAGGCGCAATTAAAGTATTTCCTTAAATGAGGGGTTGTTATGTTGATTTTGATTTGATTATCAATAAGTGAAAATGTCAAAGACTGCAAAGCTATGTGATTTAAAGATAAAAAAATAAAACTGACTGATTATAATAACGTTTTCTTTATTTTTTTCTCAAAACATGATCCTTATAAGGAAGTTTCGGTTTCGGTTTCGGCCGAAACTGAGACCGTTGCCGAAATTCGGTTTCGGTTTCGGTGATAAAAACCAGTTTCGGTCGGACACTAGAATATTACCTGCCAGTTATGCGCAATTTGCGTGAATCCATCCTTTAGAAATACCAGAATTTGTGCAATCTATCTTTCAATATTGGATGTACCCAATATTTTCTTATATGCGTTGCTTCCCTCTTTTTATTGGCATAGTAGAATGCAACTACACAATATTCATACCTTTGGTAACGATAAGCATAATACGTCGACTTCCTGACACGAAACTAAAGTGAACCCAAATTACATCTAGTAATTATGACTCAATAGCTCACTTTTCTCCTTCGACGACCGGAATAATTAATCCGTATCATGTACAACTCCTAACATTATCGGGTCGAATCGCCGGACCGGCGCGGCGCTCGCTTGAATATACCGACAACTTCGGGCATGCTGAATGTTCGGTTAATTTTTGACAGCTGCTTTGTTTGGACGTGTTTTGGCTCGTCTTCGATTTTTGTCTATTCCAAAAAATGGATCAAAGAATCTATATCAGATTTTGTGTGAAAAACAAAATTAAGTGCGCATTCCGAATGTTCACTATGTTTGGCATACGATGAAGTACCTTGAACTGTTCATCGGTGGTAAAAAAATGTTCTCAGAGGGCCAAGAAGATGTGAATGACGATGACCGTGCCGGACGCCCAAGTACGTCAACAAAAGATGAAAAAAATGATGAAGTTAAGAATATGGCATTTTCCAATCGTCGAATCACCGTTAGAGAAGTTGCTGAGGACTTAAACATGGCGGCTGGCTCCTGCCATTTGATTTTTACCAATGATTTGGGCATGAGACGGGTCTCGGCGAAATTCGTACTAAAATTGCTCAATTTCGGCCAAAACCAGCATTGTATTAACAATGCTAAGGAGCTGTTAGATTCTCTCTGCTACTACCCAAATTTGCTCCAGAGGATCATAACTGGTGACGAATCATGGAGTTATGGTTTGACGTGGAAACTCAATCATCCCAATGGAAGCCGCCGCAAGACCCAGGCCGAAAAAAGCGTCGAATTTGAAGATTTTGCCTATAATTTTCATCGATTGCAGGGGCGTGGTGCATCATGAGTTCTTGCCACAGGGTAGAATGGTCAATAAGGAATATTATCTGCATGTCTGCAAGCAGTCTGCCAGAAACACCTGGAATTTTGGAAAAACAAAAACTAGATTTTGCACCAAGATAACGCTCCTGGACTCCTCGTCACATATCGTTGCTTGTTTTAAAGCCGCAGCCACCGTCTGGCTCCCTGTGAATGTTTTTTCGTCCCTCTTCCATAATAAATATGTATTAATAATTAAAGTATAGCTACCTTTTTTGTAACATACAGTAGATAGGTGTAAATTACAAACATTGAAGTTTGAAATTATGAAACTATTTATTAAATAGAATAGTAATACAAAAAAAAATTAAGACATTGGAAATCATCTTAATGAGAAGGATGAACCTGGTATGCTGCTACCAATCTTCAGCTCTATTATAATCAGCCGTAATCATAAATCACTGCGATTAACTATTTGCAATTGGCTTCTTTTTTTAATAAATTGGTTACCGCACTAAATCCACATTCCACTAAATATGATAAAGGAAATGCAATTAACAACTTTTGAATTAAGCGTTATTAGCGGAATACATAAATAAAATTTCTAAATCTCTTCCTTCTTTTATGCTTTTACCGCTTTCTTACAGTTATTCATCATCCCCAAACGCACCTGTGGCTGTCACCGCACCCTGGTTCGCGTCAATACCCACCAGGAGCGGTAGCACCCAGTTTGGCAATCATTGTTCTATATTTTAATAACAATAAGTAATAACTGTTTGTCCAAAATACGAATTACGAAATAGTTTCAATCATTAAAATTTAATTTTGTTAATAACCGACAGTAGTTTAATCATCATCATAAGGTCGTCAGTCCTAAGACTGATTGGACACGCACCTCCACTCTTTCCTATCTTCGCATTTCCCTGAAACTAGAACAACCCATCAGTAGTTTAATAAAACAATTTTATTTTATCGCAAAAAAGGTATGAAAAAATTTGTACCACTGTTTTATATGCATTACCTTTTACAATACCTATAAGCTTACTAGAAATAATGATACCTATTGTTATTAACGTGTCCTTATTTTATCCCCTCTATAGTCCAGCTACAATTACTAAGGAAACAAGTTATTAAAATTAATAGATTTCATTTATTACCATTTAGTTCTCTATATTTTTTATCCTTGCAAAATATGAATCGAATTGCGTTACATAATACGAATTTGATTATGATACGGCCGTAACTGTATTATTAATGTCTACGTAATTGCGTTTAGTCAATTTGATAAACTTGAAACAGTAACCTAAAAAACTGTTCACGTAGAAAGTGTTATGTACAAATAAATTTTTGAAGGAACTTTCACTTATTACATTTCATGACTTGATACTATCCTAGGAATTTATTTGTGGGAGTACCTCCACTCCTTCCTATACTGAGATAATATTCGCATTTCCCTTAAACTAAAACAATCTACATCCTTAACCATTTGCGAATAGTAATCTAATTTAGGCCTACCTCTACCCCTCCTAACTCCCGTTTCTACCTCTAATATGTCTCTGTCTAGACCTTCATGCCTGAGAAGGTGCCCTACTAACCTATCCCGTCTATTTCTTATTGACTTCCTTAGAGTCTTCTGTTCTCCTATTCTTTCTAATACCTCTTCATTTATAACATTCTTTATCCACGGTATCCTCATCATTCGCCGGTAACATTTTGGACGCTTCTAACATTTTCTTTTCCGCAACGCCCACCGTCCACGTTTCGCAGTCGTAAAGAGCTGCGCTCCAAACATACAGCTTTAACAATCTTTTTAGAATTTCTAAATTAATAGTTCGCGAACATAGAATCTCCACTACTTCTTCCATCCTGTCTTATCTGACTTCCCCAAATACCTAGAATCGGCCACTTCTTCTAATTTTTCGTCTCCTATCTTTATATTCGCTCTTTCCCTACTTTTTCTTCCCTTGCATACAAGTATTTTTGTTTTACTTTTATTTATTTTTATACAATAATAGATACAGATATGGTGTTTTTAATGTTAATTTCATGAGTGATACTGACAAGGTACAACAACTTTCAGTATTATTTTAATGTTTAAATTAAAACAATTCGTAAATTTTAATCAACACCATAATTGTGGTGATGGATACAATAAAAAATAACTGATACAAGTGTTTTCCCATTGTTTCAGATTGACGAATGCGGTAGGCTATGGGTACTTGATACAGGGCGCATAGAGGACGACCAGATTTGCCTTGCACAAATATTGGCATTTGATTTGCAAACAGTAAGTATAAAAGGGCATCCACATGCATCCAAATAATTTATTTCAAATCATGAACATATTGCGCCATCTATTAATTTTTACCGATAGTTGTGGCATTTCTTATGATTGACAATGGGCTTACGAATGTATTTACTTCTCAACTTTGATCTACGAGACAGTTTATATCTCTATGGAGCATTAGCCATGTGCTGATGAGAGCTACGAAATCGCGATATGACTGATAATTTCGAAAACTTGATCGATTTTAATGATACTTAAAGGCATAAAGAGGAAATCTAGACTTTTATTTGTTTTCCTGTCTGTCAATTTGCACAGGCTAATCTTCGAAACGACCAAATCGATTTTAAATCATATAGATATGAAGTGGTGATTGTCAGGAGTGATTTAGGCTAGTATTGTTTAAAACAATCACAAACGAAATCGTGGGTAATAGCTAGTCTATAATAAATATGTATGGCGAAAAATTAAACCTGATGAAGCAAATTCATAATAGTATTTTTAAAAAGTGTGACCATATCCTTATTTGTTGCACTTCTTGTAGATTGATACTACTATAAATTGGTTCTTTTGCCGACTCTTTTCAAATTTTTCTGGCACTGCTCAATTCTCAGTAAACCTAAGTTTAGTTTTTGTAAATGCTTTGTCATTAGGTAACGAGCGCAATGTTATAGCAGTTGGTAAAATCAGAAGTGTCAGTCGCATTGAACGACAAAAAAAATTTAATTATACACTGTATACAATGGAAGTTCCTTTCAAGTCTAAAAGAAAAAAACTTTTGGATGATTCATTTCAACCAGCCAGTAATGCTGGTGGGCGGGCAGTCTCTCTGGACTACGCCGGAAGGTAGGGATGAAGAACCTTTTCGGTCTCCTTTCAGGAATCGTGGGAATGGGTGGGTGGTGGTTCGGGTGAGAAAGATGAGACGGACGAAATGAAGACAGAAGAGAGTGAAAGATTCTGTGGAATATTACTGCCCCAGCATTTGCCTAAGTGATCCAAGAAAACCACAGAAAAACTTGGACCAAGGCAGACAGACCCAGAATCGAACCGGCGTCCTCCCGAATGCTAAGTAATGGTCTATACCTCTAGGCCGCTCAGCCCCCTTTCAAGTATCTTGTCTCATTTCTTATACCTAACACTTAAAACTAAAAAATAATAATCACGGTGTGGCAAATGCCACCACTGGTTATTAACCCCCTTTTCAACTATTCAGTGGACACTTACAAAGCGGGGCTTCCAAAATTGAAATATATAACCTGTGAAATTTAGAGATATCGATAAACAACAGCGGCGCTTTCAAAACCGTAAAAACTCATAAAATAAACACCCCTAAAATAAAATTAAAAAAAAAAGGTTTGTAATTTACATTTGTATTATCGTTACCTCTACAAACTAATTTGCTTAATGCTGGGAAATCTAGCGATCTTCGAAGGGTCGCCTACCTAATAATGGTACATCACTCAGCAAAATCGAAAATATTCTTAAAGAAAGAAAGCATACAAAATTTACAACTCGAAATAACGCGAACTAACATTCACAACCCTAAACAAAGTTCATATTATAGAAAATTTGGACGTTTGAACCCATTCGGGCAATGACCATATTTAACGTAGTTGTTGAAATAAAAACATAAAAAAAGAAACAATCATTTGTTTAAACGCTACTTACAAATGGGTTTACCTAATTTTAAGTAAAAGTTGTTAGACAGATTAAGAAACTACTTTTACTGTTCTTAACTAATGTAAACCGAGTTGGCCTTGTGACAATACCGAACATTTCATAAGAGTCTGGCAGTTTTTGTTTCTAATTCTTACATACGCACGCAAATTATTATAGACTTTAGAAATACGAAAAAATTGAATGAGGTTTGTCAGTATATTAGAACATGTTTTTGTTAGTACAATGAACAATTGAATGAAAAAAAGTACTTTTGCTATAACAAGAGTTCAATCATATCAGTTACACTGGATTAAAATATTTGAAAATTGTACTGAACGTATTTACGTATCAACAATTTTTTATGTACCTAATTGTAATCAGGTGTATAAAATTACTTTGTATAAAAACTGTAGATAGATATATAGATAGATAAAACTACAATATGTACAATAATAAACTCCACCCCTTTTCTTAGGTATTATGAACAAGAAACAGGAACGTAAATAGGGAGGTGGGGCGAAAGAACCCTGAAAGGATTTGTATCTAATACTGAAACCGACTTTTCCAAAAGAATAATAATGTAACCCTCTCTTACTATGTACCCAGAGAGCGATTTTTACCATTTGGAATAAAATTATAGTGATACCTTAAGATACGAGTTTAATTCGTTCCGTAACCTTGCTCGTATGTCAATTTGCTGGTACCTCAAAGCAATTTTCCCCATAGAAATTAATTGAACTACCTTTAATCCGTTCCATCCCCAAAAATGCTACCCCCAATTGTTTTTGTTACGTGTTTTCGAATAAGACACATTCCTTCATCTCTTTCATCTCACTTGTAGAGATAACGTCCTCCACCTCTGGCTCTTCCTCGAAACCAATTTTCTTGCAGAACCCCAGAATACTGCTGCGACTGTAACTCTTGTAATTCTTCGGTCGTCACTTCTTGAGAATGCTCCTCGACGAGCTCGTTCACGAATCTCCACTGGCACTTCAGGTTCGAATCCTTCGAAGGTCCTTTCGGCTACAGACTCAGGCCACAGCTTCTTCCATGCAGAGGTCAAGGTCCTCGTTGTAACATTCACCCAGGTCTGATCAATAATTCTGAGGCACACCACGATGTTAAAGTGGTCCTTCCAGTACTTTCGAAGGGTTCTGTTCTCTGTCACCTCAAAACAGCGCAGAAACAGGTGCTTAGTGTACAGCTTTTTAAAATTAGAAATCACCTGCTGATCCATGGGCTGCAGGATAGGAATGGTGTTAGGTGGTAGATAGAGAATCTTTATAAACTTGAACGCTTCGAGGATGTCATCTTCGATGTTCGGTGAGTGAACAGGAGCATTGGTCGAGGACGAGAAGGGCTTACATGGGTAGGTTGTTTTCGTGTAGATATTTTTTAACAGAAGGGCAAAAAACCTCGTATCTCAAATTCGCTCGTATTTCAAAACAAAACTTCGCTTGCTCGACAGTTTGTATCTCAAATAACTCGTACGTCAGGGCACTCGTATCTCGAGGTACTACTGTATTCAAATTAAGAGGATTTGTACTAGCAACTCCAGTTATTGACATTAACTTTGTTACTTTAAATGGGATACCTTTTATATTATGACGGTTTTGAATTGTAATTGTTTTTAGGTAGACTTTCATAAAGCGTCTAAAATGTTCTCACGAAGACTTTTTCAAGTCTGGAAATAGGTAAGAATCGCTGGGAGCTAGGTCAGGACTGTAGGGTAGGTGAGCCAAAATTTCAAAGTCCACCTTCTGCAGGGATGCCATCGCAACACGGCACCTGTGAACAGGTGCGTCGTCGTGCAGAAGGAGGTACCTTTGGTCAATTTTCCTCTTCTTTTTCCTTTGACTGCTTCCTTTAACCGCTCTAGGATTGAAGCATAGTATTCTCCGATTATGGAGACACCTTTACCTTTACAATCGATCAACAGGATCCCTTCTGAATCCCAAAAGACTGTCACCAAAATTTCCCCAGCCGACTGTGACACCTTAAACATCTTGGGTTGTGGTGTGCCTTTTTTGTACCACTGCATACAGTCCTGTTTGGACTCAGTTCATAATAACGAACCCAAGTTTTGTCTCCAATAACAGTTCCAGTCAATACTCCATCTTTTTCTTCATTACAGAAGTTCGAAAATGCGCGAGAACACTCCATACGCTGTTGTTTTTAAGGCGAAGTGAACTTTCTCTGCACCCATCTTGTGTTGACTTTAGTCATGATCGTGAAGAATTTTAAAAATGGTTGTATCTGATACTCCTACTATTTCTGCGAGCTGTTTCTTCTTAAGTCGGGAATCTTCCAGTATTAATTTTTCAACTTTTTAAATGTTTTCCCGAGTGGTCACCTCGATCGGCCGGCCTGGTCGTAGGTCGGCTTCAAGTGAGTCCCTGCTTTACTTATAGAGGGTATGCCACTTATAAACCATACTTTTACCTGGGCAAGAGTCCCCGTAAACAGATGACATCTCTTCCATTATAGTTTGGGCTTATTTTCCTTACTTACAAAAATCTATCATGATGGCTGTCCATAAAATATGTCACTAATAAATTCACCTATTTGGACCCCTCCCTTCACCTTTGTCAGTCTGTCACACTTTCAGCAACTCTCCTAACAAACATTGAGTCACAAAACCGAGCCCATCACACTATAAATGATTTATTGTGATTAAAAATAGCAATGAGAATATACTTTTTATCATATAAAGAAACATTTTTGCCATATCTCTCCTGCAATTTTGAAAAAAACCGCTTCCATATTGGATTTGCCGAGTTTAAGTTTTGCGGTTGAACAAAGCACCTGATTTTATTTATTTTTTGCCCCAAATTACTTAATTCAAGCTGCGCTATCTTCTAAAGCACTATAATTAATAATTATATAGATATCTAGTAATGTTGGTGCTTGAGAAAGAAAAATATTTACCTAAATACGGCAAACGAAATTGTTCTAAAATAATGTTATTGTAACATACTAGTCCTGGTTTTTGTGATGCCTATTACTTCACTGACCTTCTTAAACAAAGATGTCTTGATATGAATGCAGTTCCATTGGTACCTTATCAATCCAACTATTGGTCAGATTTTCGGAAGCGATATGTGGTTCCTGATTTGGTATGCTATAGAACATCTTTACACTGTAGTATTGCGTATTATGCTTCGGGTCACATATCTAGTAAGTAATCTATGACGACCATGATGTATCTGTTACCGTTGTGAGAATAGTGCTGTTACGTTGAATACAATTCTTTAAAATGACGCTTATACTGCTGTATTCGTCCATAATTTCTCGTCCCTTACTAACGGCACATATCAGGCATTTCTTGCACCAATCTTCTACACCACTTCTACTTCGTAATCAATAAAATCGCTTGTGTACCTTCCCTATAGTCTTCGTAAGGCCGAATTATCCTTTGCCATGGATTACTTCTAGGACTTCTGAAACTCTGCTCTTCAGAAGCACCACCTGAAGCTTGTTTCTCATTTCAACCAGAGTTCCCCACGTGGTTTTCAAAATGCCACAGTCCGAAATAAGACAATTCCACTGAACCCAACAACTTTTGATGTCTGACTTAAGTGACTCACGTTGGTCCACGATGGTCTTAAGATTTCGGATCATTTCCATTTCATTATTGGATAAGTATATTCATCCTTCCCCTGGTCTTCAATTAATTCATTATCTTCCCAGAATCCCTCAGGCTGAAGAGTGGGTAAATTACAACAAATGATGCCAGTCCTGCTTTGTTCTCCACAGATGCTCGTCAACGAACGAATTTCTGTAGTCGCTGTGCATAATATTCTTTAGGTCTCTTTTTAGAGTAACCACTTCAGCGAGATGTAGTCCGTCCTTAAGAGTAACTTAACATCTCTGCAAGTATTTGTGGAAACAGTTTTGGACGGGTGACACAGTAGTTCCACTCCTTCTTCGAGCGTTTTACTAATGTACCTGACGACCTTTAAAGAAAAGGCCCACTGAACTGTGGGTATACCGAGATTTGAGCTTCAGATATATTTAAGTTTTCAAATGCTCTTTAGTATCCAGGTGTCCATAAGAATGAGATTTTTTTCTTCTGTTTTATGTACCGGTCGGGATGTATGAGCAATGATCGTGTGTATCTAAAATAGTAGGAGCAATGCCTCAAAAAGCTGTAAGTTCGTACCAACCTCGTAGAACATCTATTTTGTCAGGATCGGTTTTAATTCCTTTGGTTTTAAAGACTACACTGTAAATTCTGTATCAAAATCGATGGTACGACGGTTCATAGAGAAGACATACCCCTCTCGTACTTCCTAACGAAAGTAAAACTGTAGAATTAGATATGCCGAACAATGAATATAACAATAAAAGCTTGAAAGTTGACAATCTAAACACTCTTTAAGACTCATATATCACATACATCTCTCGCGTTCAATTAAATAATAGGAATTAAATGATTTGTTAAGTTCCAACAATTGATCATGGCCTACTACCTACTAATTGGATATACAAAAGAAATATCCATTAAAGGATAGTTATAAATAAATAAACAGGATAAAGGGAAGGATATTTAACTTTAAGTGTGGGGAAAGAATTTCTTTTTATAGACACGGCTCCGACAAGAAATATTAATCCCTGATTTTCAAAAAATACACATAAAACTTTAAGAGGCTTTCAATTATAGCCAAGGGTTGGTACTTAATAAATTCCAGGAAGAAGACAAACTGTATTTGGTCCGCCACTAAAACTAATGATTTTTTTCTTTTACTATTAGAATTCTCATTTCGAGGACATTTATCTACACTAGATGACTTTTAATTAGAAATATACGTAAATAGATAATATTAGAAAAGGTGTGATGGCTATAAATTTTAATAACCACTTTTATTTCTAGGATACATTACTATACAGATACGAAATACCCTCTAGTCAGTTAGAAGACAGATCAATTTTGGTAACTCCAATTGTAGATGTCCGAGATGACAAATGTAAGGATACTTTCGTATATGTCGCAGATTGTCAAACATTTTCCATCATTGTTTACAACCCGCGATTGGGAGTTTCATGGAAAGCGACTGACAAGACAATGTACCCTTATCCTAACTTTGGAACCTACGATATTCAAGGTAAGAAGCTTGCACTTTAAGTGGTCAAAAACGCAAAATAATACAAATTATAATTCAAAAAATGTTAATAAAGCTCATTTACAAGAGGCATTTCGTGTGGTAGAGGTAATCAAGAATTATATGAATTTTAGCCAGGGATTGCGTACTGATAAAACTTGGCCCGTTCATTGATGTCTACCAATTTGTACCACCTAAATGCATTCGCCGTCACTGTCTTTAATCCATCAGTGGTTGCATTCAGTCAGTTCACTATTTTCATAATGTACAATCTAAATGCAGTAAGGTTCATGTCAATATAAACTACCTATATGTTGAATGCGCGGTACAGTCTCACATTAAAGTAGCCACTCCATTTGAAATTCATAAAAATTTAAGTAAGATGTCATACCTATGAGTATCTACCTCTTTTTTCATCAGTCCTAAAACTGGTTGGATACGCATTTTCCCATTTATTTAATAAATACTTTTTATTGAGGCTTTGTTAACCTTTTCATTTCACACTTTGATTGTTTGCACAAAATTTTCAGGAAATAGCTTCGACTTAATGGATGGAGTATTGGGCATGGCTCTTTCACCTTACAAGCCCGGAAGTGACAGGAAACTTTTCTATCACGCCATGTCCAGTGGAACAGAGAACTTTGTTTACACATCAGATATCAGAAATCATACCAGGTTTTACAGCGATCCTGAATCATCCCCAGAAATATTCAGTGTAAGCTTTCCATACACAAAAATCATAAAACCAACCACTTGTAATGGTCCAGTTATTCAACTTAGCAAAGCTTAAATTACAACCAACAATTATTTTTTAAAAAATGTTTCATTCCATTATTACAAAAATCAAAAAAATAAATATTTGTCATCATACGTACGCAGATAAGTAAAAGTGTTTGCTTATTTTTTCGAATAAAATGCCTTTAGAGTAGTTTTGGTTAAAAAAGAATTGTTATTATAAACAAATGTCGTAATATAATTTATACTGTAGGTGTACAAAGGAACAAGGCCATCTCAAAGCGCAGCCGAAGCCATCGACAAAGACGGAATTGCATACTTTGGTTTAATGCACGAAACAACATTAAATTGTTGGAATACTGCTACTGAATATGGTCCGGAAAATATAGACACAATTTCTTATAACCCGAAGACACTGCAGTTTATCAGTGGGATTAAAGTAAGTTATCTATGGAGAAAAAAGTTAAACACATACAGGCACTTATTTAAGTGGAAGGATTGAAATTTCAAACCCCCTTCCCCACACACACTTAATTTGAAACATTGTATTACACCCTTCATATTATTTCGAATACAAAACGATCTTAATCTAAAAAAAATCTGTACTAAAAAAATATTGTACATACACAAGTGCTATGCACCCCTTGTACGTAAAAACATTGGCCCCCCAAAATTAGAAGTGTGCAGGAGTTTACAGTCTGGATACAGTTTAAAACTTTTCATCAAAGTTTGCCTAATCTCCCATCTACATTTTGCTATAAAAGTTCTATGTAAAATGGCCGAGCAACTATATTATATCACCATCTATAGGCATTCACTGCTATTTCGTTTAGAAGGTCCTCACCAAGGTCAGCTTCCATAGACCTTACTTATCAAGTATGAAGTACTCAAGTATATATCCCACTTCAATAATTTTCTATCAAGTATTCTGTATTCATCCAAAAGCGATAAATCACTGGAGAGTTTCAAGGAAACCAAAGGCGAAACAACCGCTACCTCATATACTTCTTCTGGTGGTGAAAACAATGCACTCTTTTTAACCGTGAATCGATTCAATTTTGGAAATACTTTTTTAAATACATCAGTTTGTATAAGGGAGGTTACACTGTTTTTGGTAATAAATAATGCTTTATTTAAAAAGTCATAAAAAACATGTCACTAAAATTGTTGCCCATCGCTAGCAACTACTTTTTCCTATTTTCTGACAGTATTTGAATTTCATGTCAGAAAACGACATGTCCTTTGAGGCTATCCAAGAATTGGTCCTCTTCTTGGCATCTTCATAGGAATGGAAGTGCTTATCGGCCAAGTCATGTGTTATCAATCGGAACAAGAATAATCTAATAAACTGTCTGGTGAACATTGCGAGTGGGGTAGGACATTCTATTTCAGCGTTTCAAATTAAGTTTTCGCCGATTTTTCAACATGTGGTCGAGCATTGTCATGTAGCAAAATGCATTAATTGCAGTTGATAGATAATAATAGATCAGTTCGGTTTGACCAGCTCATAATAAACTATACTCTGCTGATTCCATCCTTATTCCAAATTAACCTTAGCCGACCATGTTCCTGCATGTATGGGTTTACCTCACGATATTTTAGATTTCTACTTTTCATCGTCAGTCACGATACCATGCAAAACTCCTTTTGTAACGTTGAAGCAGCAATTCATACGTAAAAAACGTCGTTCGACTTCTCTCGGTTTCAACGTGTACGACATCTAATACGTATGTTTGCTTCTGAAACATTCCTAGTGCTTTTACACTTTACCAAACTGTCGAGTCATCTACTCTTAATGATTTTGCATATTCAGCTTTCAGCTAGTGTCTGAGATGAATCTTCACGAAGAAATGCTTCCAATTCTTAAGTTTTTTCGGTACGTCGGAGCGTTCTTTATCTTTAACATCAAAACTGTGGTGTATGGACTCTTAACAAACTATTATTTTTACATACACATGCAGTGAATTTTAAGCTCACTTAATGTATTCAATAGATGCATTTAAAATTGATATCCACATCTGGTGGTTTGATAAATTTTTGACTAAATGTTAATATTATCTACTCAAAATTCAAGAAGTATTTTAAGAAATTTGGAACAAAGATGAAATGTGAAATACCTAGATACTAAAATTAAATGTAGATCTTTTCAAAAATTAGCAGTACAAGAATGAAAATTATATCATTCAAAATACTCTGTCATATATTTGCTCAAAATAAAAATCAGTCGTGTAAGCTGCCACTAAGGCAGGTGAAAACAACATAAAAAGGTATTGCATCGGTCGGAAAGCGATCTGATTACATGCGAATACGTACGACTTTTATATTTGTAATTGATGTGATATTTCAACACATGCGGAAATATTATTAATAAAAAGGCATGCTTTATTACACGTACACATACTATGTGACCCGTCAGAAGGATGGAGGGGGTTTTCAAAAATACCACGCTTGTTCACAAGGGCGAGGGAATTTTAGGCTTTGTTCACATATCCTGTTAGAAAATATCGTACTCTTTCGCTTTTGATCTATATTTAAAACTTTCTGTGTGCAAAAAAATTATTTAAAACCATATTTATGAACACTACGTGAAAACTAGAAAGGATGGGGGGGTCTTGGCATATACCACGGGTAGTCATCGAGGGGGCGGGGAGGGTAAAAAAACTATAAAAAAATAGGTCACGTAGTATGGGTGCGTTCCCTTAGTTATCCAACAAATCAACATTCAAAACCGACTAACGTAATTTACAGTATTTCTCTTTTTGTCAACAGGTAATTACCAATCCTTTACTAGGTTATCAAGAATTGTGGTTCATTTCAAACAGATTTCAAAAAGTTGCAACAGACACATTGTCGACGTACGAGATAAACTTCAGAATCCAGACAGCACGTGTCGACGACGTATTAAAAGGAACTAAATGCAAAACGTGGTCATCTTCAAATTATTACCCTTCTACAACAGTACAGGGTAGTTACGGCTTGTATAAGCCCCGTGGTTCTTCCAAATCTCTGCCATTACGTGTAAATAACCAAAACGGTGATTCATTGGTATTTGTTAACTAATCGTTACTTACTTACTTATAGTATATAACCATATGAGTACTATTTTTCACGAGTCAAGACAGACATGTCAGTAATTCAATGTAGCCAACTTAATTTTTGATTCTTATTAGACTCCACTCCACTCTTTTGTACTGTATATGGAAGCGTACGGTTGGCAATACTGAATCTCATCAAAAGAATATGAAACTAAATTCTAAATCGATTTATAAGCATATGCATGTATAATACTTGACTCGTAAGTAAAATAAAGTATGTAATTTGATAGTAATATTAAGGTAATAATAATAATTCATGAGAATAAAAGCGCCATATAGTTTTTAGGTACATAACTGATTTCGTTGTCTATTGTACATATCTTATAATTTCACTTGTTGCGAACGCTTCTATTTATTAAATTTTGCTTGCTAGTCGTTATTGTCACATTGAACTAGTCTGTGTATAAGTAAATGAGAATAATTAGATGAATTATTGGTGAATCTTTTACAATTCGTACCTACATATGGTGATGTCATATAAAAATTGATAGATAATTTGTAAGATAGTTTAGATGCATTGTACATGTAAAACTTAATGCAAAATAAATAGTCAAGAAAAAATAACAACCGTAAAAATCATTTATTACATCCCCTTTTAGATCCATAGTAAATTAGAAATCTTTACGCTCTGTTCTCTGTCCACCTATATGACACAACCCGCTCAAGCCCTCATTTATCCGAAAAAATTAAGGGAGAAGATGAAATATGTGTTGACCACAGTATGGCGTGTTTCGATAATGGTTTGCAGTACAATGACTCGAATACTCAAACTGCGATTGTCTTCTACTAATCGCAAAATAATTTCGTTAGTACCGATCTGTCGTCTTTGCTGGCACCTTAGTGCGGAACCACCCTTCATGTATGATTTCGACAATGCATTTTTATTGAACCGTCTATATGTGGCAACCGTGCACAAATACCTTGATTTTTGCTTGATATTTTCAAAATAAACTTATTTTTGTATTTTGTGGTAAAATAGTAACTTTTCCAATCAAATGGTAACTACGGAGTGCAGACAACTACTAATCGACGTTACGTGCAATTGACCTGTCTGCGTGCCAGCTGCTCCGAAGGTCACGAGTAGGTACGTATGTTTCGTGACTTGACGCATGCGAAAACGATGGGCGATAAGAGAGGTACGAAGTACCTAACGTGCATCAATTCGATCGTTGTAGGGAAGTATAAGCCCTGCGTGTCATACGTCATAATCGTCAAAAAGATAGATGTAACAGAAGCTCTCTTCCTTTATAGGTATGGCACTTATGTGCGACCTATGCAAACACTGCTTAGGTATTTTCGAATTACTATTAATCGTTTAGTGTATCGATATACATGGTATGTAGATGCTTGTTAAAATATTGTTGGAAAACTGCTAAATGTTCCGTCCTCAAGAAAAATTTTGACTTGACTTGGTAATTTTTATATATACAATACACATATACCACTGACTACTGCTGTCTTTCTTTCATTCGCGCATCTTATACTAATAATTAAATTACAAAACGTTTTAATAGAAAAAAGTAAAATTTATTTGGTGCATATTATTAAATATAGTCAGCCTTGGAGGAGATTATGTTGAGAAATAAAAAAAAAAAATTTTTAAAAACCTTGTTTTTCTTGGTCANTCTTTGATGAAGAGAATGTGTATTACCTTTTTAATAACTTCTTGAAGCATAGAAAATAAAATAAAAAAAAAAATTTATGTATAATCAGTCTTTTAAAAGTCCATCTCGGAAAACATTAACTTTACAAAAAAACTTAAGACCTTTTTTATCGAATTAAACCAAAGAATATAAAAAAATTATTCCGGTCAAGAAAGTTGGTTTATTTTTAAACAATCGAGATTTAAACAATACCCGACAGGGTTACCGGCTGGCAACCTATATCGTTGTATTCACAGGAGAATCTTCCGAACTAAATTGCGTTAAAAAAGATTTATCTGTCTAATTTTTCCCACTCACCCGCTCATATTGCCTGGACTAATACATATTCTGCCTGTCCCTAAAATTACTTGTTAAAAAATTGTTGCTGAATTTATTTAAAAACTTGACCGCGTTACAGATATTATTACAAAATTTAATATCAATAGACAATTATGTATGATCGCATTATTTTTAACACAATAAACATTAAAAACCCAAATGTTATTTTAAGAACAATTTTCTAATGGTAAATACAAATTAATTGCAAGTATGTATTCATATAAAGTTAGCGTCAAAATCTAAAAAGGAAAATTTACAATTCTTATATATAAATTATTAATTCATCAATAATTACCTAGTATTAAGTACCATTTAATGAGCTTTTAAATAATAAATACTACTTATCGTTAAGCCTTTCAAATTATTAATTCTGAAATAATTTTAGTTATTAATTGTGGTCACAAAAACTTTTATTTCGCATACATATATAGTTATTGCCAGTAATCCAAGTCGTCTATATCAAAGCAGTTCTTAGAAATTTTTTCATTTTGGTTGACAAATAAATACCTAAGTAAAATTAAATTATGTGTAATATTTAAAAAAAACTGCCTTTTTTAAGTTCAAATTATTATTTGTGTTATTAAGTAGTAATATGTATTATCCCCGAACTCAAGGCGTTTTGAGTTAGATCACAACTTTAGGTGTTTCATTCCCATCAGCCATTAAGGCCCTCTTCAGCTTCCTTTCAGGAATCGTTGAAATGAGAAAGATGAGACGGACGAAATGAAGACAGAAGAGAATGAAAAATTATCTGTAGAATATTATGTAGGTACTGCCCCAGCATTTGTCTAGCTGATCCAAGGAAAATAGAGGAAAACTTGGACTAAGGCAGAAGGACCCGAAATCGAGTGGCATCCTCCTGAAAGCTAAGCAATGATCTAAACCTCTAGGGCGTGCCGCTCGGATGAGTTATGGCGGATTATATACTAGGGTCAATTGAAAAGTCCCCGGCCTGACACATAGATGGCGGCACCAGAACTAAATCCATATGATTTTCAGTTAGTCCTAACCTTCAAAAGACGCGTCTATAAATTTGACGGCTGTCGGATCATTAGTTTGTGAATTATAGCATTTTTAGTGAAGCAACTTTTGTTATTGTGAAAAAAATGGATAAAAAGGAATTTCGCGTGTTGATAAAATATTGCTTTTTGAAGGGAAAAAATACAGTTGAAGCAAAAACTTGGCTTGATAACGAATTTCCGGACACTGCCCCAGGAAAATCGACCATCAAGGATTGGTATGCTAAGTTTAGACGTGGTGAAATGAGCACCGAAGACGGTGAACGCAGTGGACGCCCAAAAGAGGCTGTTACGGACGAAAACACTAAAAAAATCCACAAAATGATTTTGAATGACCGTAAATTGAAATTGAATGAAATAGCAGACACTCTACAGATATCAACGGAACGTATACATCAGATCATTCACGAATATTTGGGTATGAGAAAGCTCTGTGCAAAGTGGGTGCCGCGCGAACTCACTTTTGACCAAAAACAACGACGAGTTGATGATTCAGAGCAGTGTTTGAAGATGATCAAGTGTAATAAACCCGAGTTTTTGCGTCGATATGTGACAATGGATGAAACATGGCTCCATCATTTCACTCCGAAGTCCAATCGACAGTCATCGGAGTGGACTGCACACGATGAACCCGCTCCAAAGCGTGCAAAAACGCAACAGTCGGCTGGCAAGGTTATGGCGTCTGTATTTTGGGATGCGCGTGGAATAATTTTCATTGACTACCTTGAAAAAGGAAGGACCATCAACAGCGACTATTACATAGCGTTATTGGACCGTTTGAAGGACGAAATCGCCGAGAAACGACCGCATTCGCAGAAAAAGAAAGTCCTGCTTCATCAAGACAATGCACCGTCTCACAAGTCAGTGAAAACGATGGCAAAAGTTCATGAATTGGGCTTCGAATTGCTTCCGCATCCACCGTATTCTCCAGATCTGGCCCCCAGCGACTACTTGCTGTTCTCAGATCTCAAAAGAATGCTCGTTGGGAAAAAATTTTCGTCGAATGAAGAGGTGATCGCCGAAACTGAGGCCTATTTTGAAGCAAAGGACAAATCGTACTAAAAAATGGTATCGAAAAGTTGGAGTATCGCTATAATCAGTGTATCACCCTTGAAGGGAATTATGTTGAATAAAAAAAACGAATTTTGCAAAAAAAATGTGTTTTACTATTTTAGGCCGGGGACTTTTCAATTGACCTGTTACTTGTGGTTTTACATTGTTACTTTTATGGAACTTAAGGCATCTTATTGGGTTGTAAGGAATTTAACAGCTACAATGGCAAAAAAGAAAGCTGGCCGCGTCCCTGCCACTCAAATATTTCAGTGGCCACTGTGTAGAAGAATTTCAAAAGGACTTCCATTTCTGAATCCAAACCTACAACTTTTACAATGCACGTAATGAGGAGGGAGTATGAGTTAGGTCAGGTGTGGGGGTTCTACGTGGAGGAGAGGGCTCAGATTTCAATAAATATTGCATTACATAATTTATGGACATCCTTTAATGGTATAGTTTATGGTTTGCCAAAAGTTATGTTAACGGAGCCTTCGGTTACTGTTTCATCCCTTTACATTACCCATTCAAACAAAGTGCATTAGTTTATTTACATTTATGATAAACATTACATGTTTACTTGTTTATTATACTAGGTGAAAATGAATCTTTGATGAAGAGAATGTGTATTACCGGAAAATCAAACACATATAGAACGCATATCTATACACTTTCACATCATTTAGTTTAAGCGCGCAAACTTGCGGCAATAACAGTCAGTGTGTAAGAGTTGCAATAGTCGGTAGTTTATACTGTAACTACACTCCGTGAAATAACAGAACTAATATAAAACAGTGTTTGTTTATTATTGTAAAAAAAGTCTTCAAAGAAAAATTAATTTGAGGTAAGTTTTGAAATCAATTACATTAAGAATACCTATTGTTGAAAGTTAAAAAAAAATTGGTAAAATAAGTAGGTACCTACCTATTTCTTGTATGTTGGTAGATACTTCGTGAATAGTTTCTTTGAACATTCGACTATTTTCCATTTTTATACTTTTGCGATTAACCAAAGGTAACTGGGATGAAATTTTGTTTTATTCTTTTATTTTTCGGGACATTTCTACGTGTAGGTATTTAATATAGGCAAAATTTTGGCTGATACGTTTACTTAAAATCCATGAGGGTTTTTTAATATTCCAAAATGCTTGTTTTTTAAATATATGAAAAATCCTGTGACATTGTTCGTTACTGAATAGTGGATTAATATGCAATATTAATTTGAAATAATTTTTCCGATTTTTTATTTACCCACTACAAACTACATCAAATTAATGGGTGAAGAACTGTTGCTGTTGTCATACTCCCCGCCGGGAATCGAATCCGGGACCTTTGGCTTTACGCACCAATGTTCTACCACTAAACTGCGAGAGGCGACAACAGCAACCACGACCAACCGACCTACAAGGTTAACGATCCGTCGGTTTTTTATTAACTTAATTTAGTGGTAGAACATTGGTGCGTAAATCCAAAGGTCGCGGGTTCGATTCCCGGCGGGGGTATAACAACAGCAACAATCCTTCCCTCATTAATTTGAGGTAGTTTGTAGTGGGTAAATAACAAATCGAAAAAATGATTTCAAATTAATATTGCTTGTTTTTTGTTATTTATTTTAATTTCCTCCCAAAAGTAATGTATTCTTGCAATTGGAGTTGTTGCATTAAAATACGACGAAAAATACAAATTTGATTACAAATAAATATTTAAACACCCGTTCCATTCAATTAGCAAATTGGGAACTTGAAGTAGACAAAAAATATGCACATATAGAACAGCGTTTATTACACACGCTCTTTAATTTATTTAGACATAATCTGTATATAATAAAAGTAAAGACATTAGTATGTGTGTGTGTACAAAATGCTCCATTAATGTTTCTATTCGTGTTGCTAATTTTAATTAGATATTGTAAATTGTAATTAACTTTTGAAATAACGCCACAAAACCGAGAGGTTGTTAATAATGTCACCTCATGAAATCTAATATCATAATTACATGAATTGAGTTTCAAAAACGAAACCACTAGAAAAAATTTCATTAAAAGTGAACCGTTTAATGCATGTCGAACGCGCATTAACTCAATGTCTCTGCTCACCCAATCAAAAAAACATTGATTCATTTTAATGCATATCGCATCGTTCCAATTTCTTCACTATTTTTTTTTTCTTTTGATAATGATCAACTCATTGGTTTCTTTTCCACATCTTACCTCGAATCATACCAAATCTATTAAAGTCTAATACGTGTAATTAATAATTAATTAAATATAAACATTATTGGGACATCAAATAAAATAACTGTGAAACTTCTAATTCAAATAACTCATTGACTTCTTTTCAATATCTCAAATCAAATCATACCAAATCTATTAAAATCTTCAATGCGTACAATTGATAATTAATTGAATGTACGGCGTGAAACATGGACTGTGGGCGCGGCGAAAAAGAAAAGGTTAGTAGCGTTCGAAATGTGGTGTTACAGGCGAATGATGAGGATACCATGGATAGAGAAGGTTAGGAATGAAGAGGTATTAGAAAGAATATGAGAACAGAGGACTCTATGGAAGTCAATAACAAATAGGCGAGATAGGTTAGTAGGATACCTTCTCAGGTATGTAGGTTTAGTCAGAGACTTATTAGAGGCAGAAACGGAAGTTAGGAAGAGTAGAGGTAGACCTAGATTAGATTACTGTTCGCAAATAGTTAAGGATATGGGTTGTTCTAGTTTTAGGGAAATGCGAAGTTTAGCTCAGGATAGGAAAGAGTGGAGGTGCGTGTCCAACTAGTGTTAGGGCTGACGACCTTATGATGATGATGAATGTAACATTATTGGGACGTCAAATAGAATAACTGTGAAACTTCAAACTCAAATAACTCATTAGCTTCGTTTCCATATCTCTCATCAGATCATACCAAACCTGTTAAAACCTTTAATGCGTATAATTGAAACATCATTCGGACGTCAAATAGAATAGGTAACTGTGAAATTTCAAACTCAAAAAACACATTGATTTTGTTTACATATCTTATATCGAATCATAACAAATCAAAATAGAAGATAGCGGACGGTAGAATCACTTTTAACAAAAAGAAGCCACTTCTATATTCGGGAACGGTTAACCTAGAAATACGAAAATGATTGTCAAAAGAATATGTCTGGAGCACGACTCTGTACGGCGGAAAGAAAAGGTTGGAAGCGTTCGAAATGTGGTATTAGACCTGAATAATGAGGATACCGCGTATAGAAGTTAGAAATGAGGAGATATTAGAAAGAATAGGAGAACAGAAAATTTTGGACGCATGGGAAGTTAAGCTAATTGTTCTAAATGTCTCGCACCTATCCGCGCCTCTCTTTTTAGGTATGGTACTTGTATCCCATCTACACCTGGCGCCTTATTATTTTTTAAGTTTTTTAATGCTACATCGAACTCTTCTCTCATAATGGGATAACCTAGCTCATCTAACTCCACACTATCTTCCTTCTCTAATATATCTCCTAACTCAGGGCCTGCGTAAAGGTTCTCTAAATATTCTTTCCACCTATCTGCCTTTTCTCCAATTTCTATCAAAATGACCCCTTCCTCGTTTCTTATATTATTGCTACTGTATCCTACCTCTCTAAAATTCCTTTTACCTACTTTTTACCTACTTTAAACTTTTCTTCTACTTCTTTACAGCTCCTATCAATCCACTGTTCCTTAGCTGCCCTCTACTTCCTAATTAGGGATTACATTGAAATAATTTACCCAATTTTTCATCTGTTGATCTTTGTTGGATAAGGAAAATCACGGATACATACGCAATTGCATTGCATACTTTACGCATTCTAAATGAAATTATTCATAGCGCAAATAATACAATAATAAGTAAGCAATAAATTAATTAACATGATAAAATCACTAAATACATGGTTTATAGGTTAATTACTAATATGCATGCAATATTAGCATGGTGTACTCGTATACATATGCATATGAAGATATAATACACATATGCGCTCCAATTGAATAAATTAATAACTAATTTATGTTTTAAACACATTAAATTAATAATATAATAAATAATCTCTGCCCAAAACTAGCTCAATACAACGATTTATCTAACTTGAAATCAACACTTACATATAACATTGACTTTTAAATTAATCGTCAGATTCTTTCCCAACTCTAAACTTTACAACAAAAGTCAAAATTGTTTTATATCCATACACTAGGCTTCGGGAAAGCCCTATTGAAACTGAATTGAAATTTTCCAGGGTGGAATTCGATACATCCATTCTATAATGGATAAAGGGAAAATTTTAGATTCTCACGTAAAGGATTAATAACGACAGTTATTGTCCGATCTCAAAATGTTTTGCGACGTACTTGAAAGAAGTAATTGGGTGACATTAAATTAAACTCTTCGATAGATAAAAGGATTGGTGTATACCACTTGTACATAATTTTATTTGATTGCTACTCAGGATTACGGGATTGCCATGTTGTTACGTTTTCCGACTTTCCGATATTTGAAAACGTATTTGCGATTGATAATGCACGATTGTATTTGTTTATGGATTGTTCATAATATATTTGCGTGTCAGTCTTGGTGAAGCTTTCCTTAGGATTAGTGGACTTGCATGAGTGTTGAAGCCAGTTTTCAGTTGGTTTGTACATTCTTTACTTAAATCCCCTAAGTGTGAGAAGTTGAGGTCTCTGTAGACATAGTTATTTGATATGTAATATGCGGCACTAGTGATTTTTACAGGAGTTTCGTTTATTTGGGACTTTATACTGGTTAGCTAAATGTTGTTACAGAGTTTCCATATTCGACATCCGTAAATGATTGATTGATTAGGTGGATTTTGTGTTATATAGATGCAGTTTGTTAATGTTTTGCAGTAGAGGGTGGATTTCAAACATCTTCTGTTTATAGCGTTTGATGATTTTGTTTGTGTGTGGCGTCAACGAAAGGTGTTTGTTCAGAATGATGCCAAGGTATTTGATGTTTTTTCAGTCAATGGTTGAATCTTCACATTCAATTTTAGGAGGTGGATATTTATGTCGCTTTCTTTTTTTGGCAAATATTATTGCTTCAGTTTTGTTAGTGTTAAGGATGATCGTTATCTAGTTAACCATTTGGTTATGATTTCGATGTCTTTTCTAACGCTTTTGAGATATTGCCCAGTCTTCTTGTTGTGTAGGTGATTTTGATTGCTGTCTCGTCGGCGAACTGGGCGATTTTGGATTTTGTGGTTGTTGGAATATCAGCCATATATAAGTTAAATAACAATAGACCAAGAACTGATCCTTGTGGCATTCCTGCTACAATTTGTCTTTTAGTTGACAGTTGATTTTCAATGATAGCAACTTGTTGGTCAGGTAGCTGTGAATAATTTGTATAAAATTTGAATAGTAATCCTTCGTGCCATATTTTGTCAAAGCTTTTTCAACGTTTAAGAATGTTGCTTCGGTGGAATGTGAAAGGTCAAAGCCATATATGATATCTTGTCATAGTATGGTTGCCTGGTGTGTTATTCTTGGTTGTAGTAATAGTAGTGATTGATGTTGATAGATGAAGGCAGACTTATGGGCCTGTATCCTAATGTGTTATCTTTTGGTTTTCTTTCTAAAGAATAAGGATCATTGTGTGGCGAAGTGTTGAAGTCAAATACAACTTTTGTTGTAGTGAAATGATATATAGCAACCCCAACCCTTTCTTTTCATTCCCCATACGGACTCAATCCGCAGTTTCTTTTTCAAATTTTTAAATTGCCTTATCTGGAAATAATAGGGACAGGGGAAGATGTATAAAAAGAGTTATTTATTTCTGTTTTTTTCTACAGTTTATATTATAATATTATCTGAAAGCACTAACTAGGCTAGCAACTGTGTAATTACAAGGGTACAATTTGCACATAGCTTTGAAAGTAGTATATTCCGGGAGGAGAAAGGTCCTATAAAATTTCACTGATTGGAAAGGAAGGATGTAGTCACCTTATTTTTAAGTATAGACTAACGCTAGGCTACACTGTTGTAGATTTTTAATTCTGTATAACCCAAGACGCCTTGAGTTTCAAGTTCTACGAACGTGATGGATACACGTAAAACTACCACTGCGCATGAACTGGTTTATCTGATTCAAGAATAAAATGTTTGGAATTTAAAACTAAAACGAATTTGAAATGTTTCTGCGAGGTATTCCATGTTTCATGAAGACTTGCATTTAATACCAGTCATGCAGAAAAAGATAGAAGATCTAAAATTCTAACTGGAAGAACTCATCAAAAAGTTACATAATCGACGTCTTTCATGCACTTCTGTACCTATTTAGGATAACAACAGGAGCAATTACAGATTGTGATCTATTTCTTTAGACCAAAAAGGGGTAAGGCATGGCTGTCCATTAAGCCCACTACTCTTCAATACTTAAATAGCGAACACAGGGAGATTTTTACTCTGGCATACTCTGATGACATGGTTATAACAGCAGAAACAAACGAGGAAACAGAAAAAATGAATCAAAAGTATAAGGAAGTAAGGGTTTATCGAAAAGAAAAGACAAATGGGAACGAAATTATTCACCTAACAATGACAAAACATATACAAAAAAGTAAGAGACAAGACTAGACAATAAAAATGATACAAGTATGGGGAACAGGAGAAAGGAAATTTGATGGTGACTTCGGAAGGAGAATGATGATGTTAAAACTGCATTAATGTAGACACTGGAAATATAGAGACCGGAAATAGAACTACAAAAGAAACACATAAGAGGTATCATAAGACCAGAGTGGTGTAGGTATACCAAAACACCTGGTAAGCGAATGAAGTTTCTGAACTATCAAGAAAAAGAAAAGAAAAACAAAAGGGACACTTCAAACTATAAAACAATAAAAACTACTCAGAATACGTAACATTGTCCAACAACGATGAGCTAAAGTACTTACAGCTAAGATAACAGCAAGAACAAAGAAGATCGCAAGACTCAGAGTGGGTAACGAATGGAAAGCTAACACGTATTGGATGAACAAATATAAAACATGTACAATGTGCTGAAAAGCACCAAAAACGGCAGAACATGTAATGATACCATGTGAACACACAAACCAAATGAAAGAATAAAAGACTTTTAGAAGAAGCAGAGGAGGCAGGAGATGAAGGGCATCAAATAAAACATTACTACCCTGGTACATAGCGGTTCAGTACACATAAATTTAATTTATGGTGGTCTGCGAAAGATTTTCTGTATTTTAGACAGATCAAAAAAGAATGTGCGTACTTTGTAGAATCTTTATTCCAGAGCCGGCAAAACTCCGCACCTAGCGCTCCTAGGTGTTCCTGCAAGGGCAAGTGGGAGAGGTATACAACAAATCTACTGTCGTTTTCCTTGTGAGCCAAAAAAGACTCTTTTTCTCCATAACCATAACCAGAAGGCTTGATTACGGAGGAAAAGGGACAGGTATCGCTCGTTTCTATATCTGTCTCTGTTGGGTACACTATACCAGTGTACCTGAATAGGGTTTTCTCAGGTGGTCGCTCCTAAGTCAAAGTTTAGCCTGCCGGACTTTATACTATGGTATAAATGCATATGTCTATTCTATTCACTTGATATGACGTTGCTGACATGAGGTAATTAAACTATTCACAGTTTCAACATTATACACAAACTGTGTCGGTATGGATCTAATAAATATGTGGGAAAAACGGATAAGACTACTAATTTTATATAGACGATGATACAATTAAATGCAATTTTACATTATCTTTTCAGAAAAAGAGAGTAGGGTATAACAAATGGGTGAGAATATACAACAATGGGATCCGTCTAGAGATCTGTTTTATGGTTCAAGAACAACAGAATACACCACTGCAGCAGACAATCATCGAAACCTAAATAATGGTAAGTATAATGGTATACATGTATAAGTACTACCCACATGCATAAAAAAGTGGTTCTTACAGTCAATTATTCTTACCAAAGTTGCTTCTTCGGTCATTTATATCCACGCTTTTATGAAAAATGCAGAAATATGCATCTCGTGATTTTTTATGTTCTTCCGATTAGAATTATGTCTTGCAGTTTTTATTGGATTAATAAAATAGTTTCTTTATATTGTTTTCAATTCACTAGATTGTTTTCTAAAATTATAATTTAGGAATGTGAAAACTGAAAGTCACCTTTGTAAGGCATTATTATGTTAGTCCAGCCCAGTTGTGAATAGTATAATAGTCGGCTAAAATAAACTTTTATAAAATAAACTAAACCATGGGTAGTAATGGGTTTATTTATGCGTACAACTTTTAGTGAACGTATTGATCAAATTTAATAAATTAAATGATTTACCTACTAGAACTTAATTGGAAGTGATTTTGTAACAGCATCATATACCTGTAGGTATCCATATCATTACAACTAACTTTACTAATTTTAAACTCATTTAATATTGTATAATAACTGCTGTCTATAAATTCTGAAAGTATCGGATGTGCCACTTTGATTGCTACAATTGAATATTTATTAAGGCTTTTTTCTATACGTTCGTTACAGTAATAATAATAAAATATGCAGTTTATAATAAATCTCCTAACAGTCCTCAAAAGAAAAAAATAATAACCGCGTTACACTCTCTTAATTATATTGCATGCAAATAAATATTTCAACTTTCTTGTGCGCTTTGAAATTGCAAATTGAATCCTGAAGTTATCATTGATGTAGCTATAAATATTAATATAAATATAATTAAGATAGATGCAAATATTGTACAGGGTGGTTTATAAATAATTAATAGGGCATAGAGCAACTACAAATTTGTTCAAAGCTGGGTAATGACGCTTTGAAAACGAACACTTCGCTGTCGATGTCACAGTAGATTACACGTGGAGAGTAAGACGGAAATCCCTCTTCAGTCTCCTCTCAGGAATCGTGGTAATGGTTGAGTAACAGTGAGAAAGTTAAAAAGGACAACATAAAGACAGAAACGAAGTGAAAGATTATTTATCTGTTGAATATTACTACTGCCCCAGCATTTGCCTAAGTGATCCAAGGAAGCTACAGAGAACCATGGACTAGGGCAAAGACCCGGAATCCAACCAGTGTACCCCCCGAATGCTAAACAAATGGTCTAAACCTCTAGGGTCTAGCCATATAGTTTAGTTCTAAACAATAGGTTTATGTTTTTGATATATTTTAAAATACGACATTTCACTACAATACCTACGAGTTCCCCGTTAAGTGTAGTGGCTAATTTGTACAGAATGTCATTGTGAAACCACAGTACACATATAATCTGTATCGGATAATGCCTAGTTCCCTCCCATATACCTGTTTTTAATTTGGGTGAAAATTTTCGGGATGTCGAATTCCCTCCTAATTATACATCAATTGCCTCCCAACGGCAGCGGATGTCCTTGAGTGCTAATTGCCACTATAAAGTCATAAAGAGTTGTTTAAATAATATAGCCTCACATCACATATTAATCTTAATATTATTCATATATTATAGACACCACAATAACAATAATAATTTTATCAGACTACCTTTCTATTAGTCAAA